AAGAAACTGTTAAGAATTTCATGTGTTAAGCAATAAATTTGAAACGCCACAATCACACACACACACTCGCACACACATTCACACACTAGCGCTATTTATGGCGATTTGTAGCAACAATTTCAATATGGCGCGCTGATCAAGCGATAGCTTTGGCTGCCGCCGGCTGCTGTTGCGGCTGTGTCTTGTAAATCGTTACGGCATTTTCAATATCCTTAAACTCACTCGCACACGAAGACACACACAAGAGTCTGCCTCACAAAGCTGCTTTATTTATTGAAAGTTTTTGGTTTGGTTTTTCGCGCAGCGTTTAGAAAACTTTTAAGCTGCTTTGATTGTATCCTTGAGGCATTTGGCTTGCCTTGCCATTTGCCCTGACTGTCTCTAGTGTGGTGGGTGGGGATTGGGGCAAGGTTAAGTCCTTGACCTTACCGCTTGTTGTCATTGAACTGCAGCCAGCCCACATCGATAACAAAGCCAGACAAATTGCCATAAAATAGTCACAATAATCATCCTCGTCATTTCAGGCCACTGGGCAGGGCCAATTTGCGAGTAACCGAAAAGTGCGTTGGTCTGAGTTAAATATGCCATTCAATGGGCTTACAAATATAGCAATAGTCATACATTTCGGCGCCGTCACGTCTACATTTCAGTTGTTTGCTTTGGATCTATTTGGCTGCACGTACGCCAAAAATCACGTATGGCCATTGGACTGCAAGCACCGATACTTGGCGGCCAACTCTTCAGGCCATTTATAACCGCAACGCCTCTCATTATGTAGCAGCAGCTACAGCAGCGCAGTTATCTATTGCCACCTCCACGCACGTGGCGAGTATTTACAGCCAACCTGCAGGCACTAAGTAACACAAATCAACAAGAAAACCAAACTCCAAATTAAAAAAAAAAAAAACAGTTTTGTTGCCTTACATATCTTAAAAACAGTTAAGAAGCTAAAGAAATATATAAAGGCCTAGATAAAAGAGCTACTTAGCCTAAGTTTAATTTACACAAAGTACTGTAAAGTTGGCTTTTTGTGCTTCGTTCACTGAAAAGCATGCTGTATCGAACAATGAAATTTTATAATTATTTTCATTAATGTTTATAACTTGTGAATATTTTAAAAGAGTTCAAAGTTCAAAGTGAATTTAGGAAGCAAGCTTACATACGTATATACAATTTGTACTCCGGCAATGAGCTTATATTTTTGATCAAACAGTCTCAGTTTTAAAATTGTCAATGAAGAATGCAAATAATACAGATTTCATCTGTAGCCTGCTAAAGCTATTCGAAGTCAGACTGATTTTAAAACATCCAACACCTGGCCACAACTACTTTTAGTTTAGGCTATGTGTCGCCTTGCTCTGGTGTCTAGTGTAATTGAAATGTTCGACTTCAGCGTAGTGCAACGCGAACTCAATTGAAAAGGTAAACAAATCAGAAAGCTGGCCACAAAGCGTGACATTAACACAGCGGCCAGAAACTATGCAAATGACACAGCAGCTGCCCAAAGACCGAGCCTCAACACGCCAAAGTATTTTTAGCCGCTCTGCCCACTCCGCCCCCTGCTGATGCTGGTGTATGGGCACAGACAGCGGAATCGTCCGAAATGTGGCAGGGGAGAGGGAGAGAGTGCAGCGGATGAAGAGGACCGGGGTAGGGGCAGCCACAAATAGATTCCGAATGAGAACGCGAATGCGACGGACGCCGACAATTGCGTATTTTCCGGCTGTTGTTTTTCGGGTCGACTCCGGCAGGATAAGGGGCTGCTGGTTGCTGTCGTCAGTCTTGACATTTGAGTTTGTTATGCGTGCAGATGTATTTGTATCTGTATCTCTGTATCTGTAGCCCAGCATTTGTATCTTGCGCCTGTGTGTGTCCGCAGCTGTGTATTGGCTAGCAACTGTGGATTTGTCAGCGGCAATTACCGTTGATCTCAAGTGTTTTTTATCGCCATCTTTTGTTATCGGTCTTCTCGTTGTCATTGTTTTTGCTGTTGTTGTTGTTGTTATGGCTGTTGGCACGTATTCCCACATTCAACTCATCGCATTCAATTTGCTTGATTTTATTTCCGTTTTTCGTCGCATCGCAGCATTTACTTTGCTTGTTCTTGCCCAGAGGCACCTGCAGCCCGTAGTCTGCTGTCCTCCGCTTTCCCCATTTTGCTTATTTTTTGTACACGATTTTGATTTTGATTTGGATGCCTCGCGCTGCCACTGCAACTTGAGTGTGCAATTTGATTTGATTTTCGGCAGCGCTCCATCGCTATGGCATGTCCTTGCGGCAACTCTCCGCTTGATGGGCAGTTGCGGTCTCGTTTGCTATTAAAATCGACTCAGCCAAAATTTAGCCACAGCCAACACGAAATTGCCATTTTGTGTTTAATGCTAGCCAGTTGTGTATTTTGAGTATTGCTTTTTTACCCATCCTGCCAGGGGAAGCGCCAACTATCTGTGCCAGGATATGTCGCTGACTGTTTGTGCAGCGACAGGATATGAAGTGCTGCTCGATTGCCACTGGGTTACACATAAGTGTGCCACGTGTCCAATATTCAAGCACAACTGACACTGGGCGCCACGTGTCCCACTGCCTTAGTCAATATGTATGTCAGTCCATGACACTACTCAATGCAATTGCCAGCAGAAGGTGTCAGAAAATGGCTCTTTCAACTCCTTGCTTAGATAAATATCATAATATACACATATATTTATTTTAATTTAAATGAATTGTCTCTACTATGAAAATACAATGCAATTAGAATTTTATTCTTAATGCCTTAATCACATAATGTATATACGCTTTTGGGATTATTCTGACAGCCAGTTAGTTCATTTGTAGAGCAGCGTGATAATTAAGAAAGAACCACTTTTATATTTGTGCACTGTTCTCGCCTCTGTCCATAGGAACGCAAACTAGTTTTGCTATTGCAGAGAAAAACTTCAAAAACTAGAAAGTCTAAGCCAATTCATTTCATAGTTAATGTGCTGTAAGCCCTATCTTAATATAAAAAAAATTATGTATAATTTAACCAAAAAATGTATTTTTTAAATTGTACATGGTCAAGCTTGACCTAGGAGTGGAACCTCCTGGAACCACGAAATCTTTTCAGTTGTCACACACATACGAATTCATTGAATACATATATTACAGCTTATCGCATGAAGACGATTTTCATTCGGGCAATTGGACCATGTAAACAGAACTATTAACAGGTCATAACTGCTGCTGTGGCCTTGCCAATGTTTTTTCCGCATTTCTCTGCAGATCCTTTTAATAGTTATTCAGATGTGTTTAATACACTCAGCTGGTGCCGCATGAATTGACCCCGTTGAGACGGCAGCAGGCGGCGTTATCCTTTCAATACGGTTGGATTGCGTATGGCAGCAAGGCAGCTGGGCATCCAAGGACATTGTACGCCTGATTTGGCAAGGATACACGGCGTGAACTACGTGGCCACAGATAGACAAGATGACAACAATGTCTGGGGACAGTTCTTGAGATTTTTGTCACTGTTGTTGCCGGCTTTGCTTTCATTTGCAGCTGTCCTCCAGGCTGTCGACTGTTTTACTTGTTATTCATTGTGACTGGGAGTAGACGCATTTTCGGCAGTGAGACTCCATTCTGAGCGTTGCTGAAATCCTCAACTATTTCATTTCATTTCATTTGATTTATCTGCTGGTCGCTCGCTTGACTCTTGGCTGTTTTTTAGCAGGAAGCATCCAGCAGACACGCCCCTCGGTTAACGCCTACGCTCCGGTTGGAGGCCACATCGCTGCTCATTTATAATGAAAACACAGGACATCCAAATCCAAATCCACACAACATTGCAGCCATCGGGGCCAAGTATATTCTTGAAGCCTGCCTCAGAGCCAGCGCCAGTGCCAGCGCCACGTCCTTGAATCATAAAATCTTCACAGTTTGCGCTTGGCCCATGTCGTAGGCCGTATTTGGCATTGGTTTCGCAAGCAAAAACTCTGTGGCAGGCATTTCTCTCCGAGCGCTTACAGAAAAAACTGCGAAGCCAAAAGATTAAAACCATAAATTCTGTTGCGCTTAGTAGCGCGGCGAGGGGCTGAGTTCCTTCTCAGACTAAAGTCAAATAGAAATTGTGGAGGGCTGGAAATTGGGTGCCAAAATTAAATCATGAAATAATGCTATACTTAAGAGCGCCAAGCATTTGCCATGAGCCCACTGCATGGGCCAATAATTCAGATTTACAAATTAAGAAAATGAAGAGTTTTTGATAAAACTTATCATAGAAATAACGTAGTCTGAGAAGTGTTGTTATTCATCTCTATTAGCTAGCTTAAGTTGTGAAAAATATTAAATTAACAAATGTGTATTAAAGTTAACGTAAGTCTATAGTGAAGTAAACCTATATAAATACATTAGTAATAGATATTTCTTTAAATAATATATATAATTAATAAATTAAATGACGCCCAAACAGTGTTATTCGAATTTAGCTGTGACCTAACAAACCGCGAAGCTATTTACTTGCCCTTAATCCATCCATTTTCAATGGTTTCTTGGTGGCACTTCATCAGAGCGAGTTTCATTTTAATGTTCGCACACGCAAGCACACACTCATGCAGATTTTTGGCTGCTTAATAAAATTACGCATACGCCATGTGGGCGCACACAAGCAGTCAAAACTCAGTCGCATGCCTACACGCACATATTAAGCGCCTTTCCCCCTGCAATCTTTTGAAAGGTTTTTCGGTTAAAATATTTTGCATATTTCTGAATAGAATGTTGAGCTGAAAACTGCGTGGGGTTGGGACTAGTGTATGTAGATTGTGTGTGAGTACGATACATAGTTGATAATTTCATTATGGTTAACTGTAGTTTATTGATTTTATCAGCATATCCACAAATTTAGTTATATGAGACGTTGCTCGAGGCTATTTAAGATTCATGAAATATGGATTAGGCTTGGGGCAGCAGCTAATAATAAAACTTTAGCCATTAAATGCTTTTATCTAAAACATAGCAAGCTTATTAAAAATGTTCAGCTATTGCTTAGAGTTTCAGTTACTATTTTATTGAATTCATTATTGATATTCTTCAGTTTCTTGTTCTTTTTTGAGTGTAAAAGAAATCATGTCGAGACTGTGTTCCTCAAGCTCTGATTATAATTTCCCATCAGAAAACCCGTCTACTGGAAGTGTAAATACCATTACATTGCCAAGCACACGTGAAATTTCGAGGCAGGAATCATTGGTAGGCAGGAGCATCAATCGCACAACATTTAATTTTTCTGATCGAACCTCGGCAACCAGAGCTTCGTACGGGAATTATCGTACGTCACGATTTCAGTATGGACGTGGAAGAAGCTTATATGAAACTGGGGACCGCATGCGCGCAACAGTGTTTGCTAAATATGATGTAGGCAACGTTGACACTCGGACACAGTATAGCCACATGAGACGTCGTCACGCTGCGGATGCAAAATATAAGAAACCCTTCGAATTTACCGTCGAGGATGATATGAAATACGTACCGAAGTACATTTCGCTTGAATCCAACGATCCGAGCTATACACGTTTTAAAGTGCCTTTGTAAGCTGTGAAGCCGAAAGTTCATTTAAATGCTTTATAATTATTAATGATGATATTACCATTACCCACAGTCAGATGACATGTATGCAGCGCTATAAAAATAGCGTCAAGAAATACAATCAACAGTTTTCTAAGGAAATCTCTCAATTGATCGATAATCAGTCTTCAGCTCGGGATGCTACCTACTTTGTGCGGTAAGGCCATTGGAAAGTTTTTAACATTCGTATAATATATTTCAATATCACATCAGGATAGTGTCTTACACTACGTTATGGCCACCATATCATAATGAACGTGAACTGCATGATACAAGTCGCAGCTTCTTTCGTTTGACTCCCAAGGAGAGCACACGCCTTCAATACATAATGTCAACCAATTTCTCGTATATTTAAAAAGAACAACTCACAATAATCAGAATATGAGCACTAAATTACAAAAGTATAGCTGCCTTCAATGAAACAAAAAGTATAATAAAGACAATTCAACGTAAGTAAATGGCTTTATGAATAAATTGGTGTATGCGAGAACTGTGAATCATTCAATCTATCAATTTCGAAAATTTATAAAATTCCTATCAAGCTCGGCTTGACTAATTTCAAACTTCCAATCGATCCTTAAACTATAATAAATAGCTAAACGAACTCAGAAATAAAGCAAAGAAGAGCAAATACTCATTTTGAAATGGTTTAAACTAAAACAAGAAGGCTCTATTCGAAGTGTTCGACTTGGAGATACCTAGATCCCAGTCCTATTTGCGTTTTTTAATGTTTTAAAGATGCTATTTTTAAGATGCTGAGATCGACGCGTTCACACATACGAACAGACGAACGGACGGACAGGGCTCAATCGACTCGGCTTGTCGTCCTGATCATGAATGCACATACTTTATGGGGTCCATGCCTCCTTCTGCCTGTTATATATACATTTGGACAAATCCATTATACCCCTTTAATGGGATCAAGGCATAAAAACTAAAGAGTTCTACATCCAAGACTGCTCGACTTTAAGATACCCTGACCCCCTACGAATTGCTGATATTCCAAACATTCTACATTGCTTTCATGCATACGTAGCCAACAATGTATATATACTGGCATGAATTAGCTGTTTTTCTGTATTTGCCAAAGCAAGTCTCTAGTATTTAAAATTGGTTTTGTTTCTGCAAATTTGAAGGTAAGGAGGTAAAGTGTCCTATACAAAATCTCTGTATTCATGATAGGGCCCAACTCAGTAAATCTGAAGCCTTCAGCTTTTATGGTATTCAAGCTACGCTTAGAAAATAAAATCAAATTATCGATTCTTATCGATAATAAAGAAATGGGATGAGTTTATCGTATTGCACATGGCTTACACGAGCATACATTTAACACTTCACATACGTATCTTTTTTAGTTTACGAGATCGCTGGGCTTACAAGAAGAGACTGATGGACATGGTTGACCTGGTCAGACCGTTATATCACGCCTCCTGCCTGTTACATACATTTTCGCAAAACTTTTAATATAAAGTTTTTAATGAAAACATGAATTCATAAATGCCAGGAAAAATGTATCAAACTATCCATTGCAAGCAATGCAAGTATTTAGAATTTATGTTTAAGTTCCCTGTCATAGGAAATGTTGCATGTTTCTGTGGTACGTCCAGGAGAGAGAAAAGGCGAATTGCATATTCAGTGTCATTGCCATTGATATGCTGCAAAATGTGGCAAAGTTATTGTACACTCAGCAAAATGCTGCATACATTTACAATTATAATTCGTATAATGGGCACGCGTTTCGGTTAGTTGCGAGTGCATTGGCTAAAATGCCAAAGTGGACACAAACAGCAGCATAAATTCCAGCAAGGCGCGTACAAGTGTTCGCTGCATATTCGATCTGCATAAACAGTTTCCGTTTCCGGGCAAACACATTTACATAGCCAGCCACTTGACGGGGCTGGGTGGGGCTGAACTGGGCTGGGCTTGTGGCTGGTGGCTCCTGGTTTTTCGAGCATCATCAACTCAACCGCAATGGTGGCCGCCTTTACATTAAATATTAACCCGCAACGCTGATAACACCCACACATTACAAAACATGTTGGGCAGCTACCCACAATGGCGGATGCTCCCATGCACAAAAGTAAAAATAACTTCCATCTTGTAGTTTTTTTATTCGTGGAAAAATACCACTCGAAAAGTAAAAAATAAAATATAAAAAAGATATATATATATATACAAAGTGAGGCATTGGGAACGCAAATTTTTCGCTTCACTGAATTATTCATGAATGCAATTTTTGCCAACAAATAAAATATAAGCAGCCAGCCAGCGCTGCCCCCTTGAGTAACAGGCGTGGCACTAGCTGTAACTGCAGCTGTGACTCAAATGTCGCTGCAGTATTTAGCGTAAATTAAAAAGAAAAGCAAAGAAAACGCAAAACTCTGAGCAAAATTGCTCATGAACTTTGTGCTAAGTTATGAAAGTGTATGTCACAGTTTCGGCGAGAATGAAGAGAGCACAGGAGTTGCAGGGTCGGGCGTATACTTGGTATTTACCATTCAGTAAAAAAAGAATAATAGAATATTCGCGTGCTTAATTTTGTGGAAATAATTTTTAGGGCTCTGTGACAGTGGCTCGAATTATTTATTTATGTGCGGCAAATACGCTTTCATTCGATTAAATGAGCACAGGTTGACACGCATATTCAGCTGCCATTACACACAAATGATATGACCCAGAGACCAATTGAATTAGGTATTCATGCATATTTCATAGTTTTTTTAGCTTAAGTCGTGTTGTTTTTAATTAAGTTGCATTTGTGGCTTTATGAGATTGCGAATATATTAATTATTAGCGCAACAGATGAGCAGCAGATGGATTTCCAAGTTCGTATTAATTTACTTTTTACACTTTTATTGCATCATTCGATTATTCATTATATCAAACGAAGTTGGTATTACTTAATTGCCCAGTCTGATTGCTTATATCGATTTCACTGTAAAATATGGCGTATTCCCAGTATTCGTTGATTACTTTTTGTTTCCAAGTCCATCATATATTCTTCTGTTCATTCACTTAAAAAAATTTCAGTCCAATGCCATTGAGCATACAATTTCCTATTGTGCCATGAATCAAATGGCCATAAGCACCATAGACAAAGCTGATAACGGAAAAAGCATCAATTGAGAATTCAAGAATTTCAATGCATTTGGAAAAGTTATAGTAGAATATTCTAAATAATTATTATTTAATTTGCAAGTCAAAGAAAACATGACACCTTTAGCATTACAGAAATGCATATTAGGTAAAATAAGAGTGGTGCTAGCTCTGTCTATAAACAAGTGCGTAAAGTCTGAGCGCTGTCTGCAACTGAGAAGGGCCATTAAAATAATCGCTGCAATAACCGCATTTTGCACAAATTTTAACTGCATTTTTTATTTCCCCCCTATCTCATCTTTTTATGTTTCGTTCTAGTTTTTGCTGCTTTTGTCACTTTTGTCTTTTACCTTTTCGAAGTCAACAACGAGAAGAGAGAACATTTGCATGCATAAGTTATGGATGCGCCAGCTAGGGGATTGGGAATTTGAGATGGGCTAGAGAAAGAAGCTCCGAGGGGGGCCTTGAAGAGCTGCGCAGCATATTGACACAGTAAACTGCTTAGATTGTCAGAGTTCGAGCAGGCCGAGCTTGTTGAGGAAGATGCATTGAAGTTTCAGCAAGTGCGCGACTCAAAGGTAAAGCCACAATATGCCGCGAATACTAAGCGCTGCATACTTTCTTCTTGCTGCACTTCCGCACGTGCCACACTTTCGGTCTGAACGCCAGGCATTTATACAAAGCACATGTGTGTGCGTATGTCAGCAGTGTATGTGTGTAGCAATCGCTGTTGCCATTGCCAATGCTGCCGCTGCTGCTGCTTCCCGGCTAACAGAAGCCAACTTTAGCTTTCACACACACATAACGCACACACTTGCAATCAGGGCACATGTATCAGAGCTAAGAAAATCTATGCCCCTTGGCTCAGCGCAAATTTTTGGGCTATTTTGCTCAACAGCCAGCAGCCAGGTTGATTTTACTTCTTGTTTAAGACAACATGCGAACGTCACGAGAATTGCTCTTTCTCACCTTCTCTCTCCCTCTCTCTCTCATTAGTTGAGAAATCACTTGGCTAAAACGCCATTTGGTCCGCTTTTTCGAAGTGGTTCGGCTTTGAGTTTTTAGTTCTCCGAGTTGTGGCAGGCTTCGTGTCGCGACTGCGCAGTGAAGATATCAATGAAAGAGGTATTTTGTGAGGAATTTACTTTGTGCCTGGAGAATAAACATTATTATGAAAAATAATGGGATTGATTTTTCCCGTTACCTATTAGATAGTTGTCTCATCAACGTTGTATGACAATGAAATATGTTGTGCTCTAGAATCTAGAATTTAAATAGATCTAGTCTTACTTGATTATTCAATTGGATGTTTTATGGCTGAGGCCGGATAAAATACATTTAGTTCATTCTCTGAAGATAATAGATTCAACATACCACACAAAAAATTATAATCAAAACTAATTTTTTAATTTGACATGCAATCTAGACTATATTCAAAAGGAGCCTTCCCCAGATTTCGAAAGCTATATATTTCCCACTAATAAACATTATTTAAATAAAGGGAATTGGCGTGAATTTCACTTCTAGTTACCCCTCGCTGAGAACGCTATTTACGCGTATCCATACCTCAGTAAACGCAGCTCGCGTGGAGATATCCGCTCTAGCAGCCACACACAAGAAGGCACAGCGCTAAGTCCACGTTGAGTTGAACTCTCTTGGTGTAGGTCATAAACAGATGCAGGTGAGCAGTAACACCTGAGAGAGCGGCAGTGGCAGTGGCGATGGGAGGGGCTGAGAGTGGTCTATTGTACTATATGGGGCTGTCCATTTTAACGAGTGCACCTGACCAACTGCAGCTGATGTGTTCATCTTACTTTATTGCACCTGTATAGCATAGAGCATATACCTTACAGAGAGGCAACTATATATTATATTATATATAAGTGTATATATATATATATATATATATATTTGTATGTATTTTTGTCACATATATTGAAAGGTCTTTTGGCGACTTGATTTTTGCCTTACGCTAACATTGCTTGAGCAGATCGTCTTGGGACTGTAGTCAACAGCATTTACTTGCGGGCATTTATTTTGTGGCCATTACGAATGGTGCACGAATGGAGCAAAGTAAGCTGTTGAAAGTGGGGAGGTTACTCTATAAACAGCTCGTGCAGCTCTTGTGAGTCACGCATCAGTTCTGCACCTCGATGTTCTCGTGCAGTCTGCTACTGCTGCGGCTCCTGCTAGCGGCTGTTGCTTTTATTGATGTGTTTGTTGTATAAAGATCTTATGGTGGAGCTTCCGAGTGACTTTAAGCTGCAGCGGCAGCAAC